TTAAGCAAATTCCGCAGACATTTTATGTTAATTTAATTTAGTATTAAGAAAGATGCGACTGAATACTAAATCCTACAAGACGACGAAGGACATACAGATTCCAAATTCATCCCTGTTGCTAGCGCCATGATCACAGAGTAACTGAAGTAATTGCGGGTAGATGTAATTGGCAAACATATCGGTCTACCCTCTGACGTCGTCTTTTACTGCGCTTGATACCCCTACCATTGGTCACATTCTCACTATTCACTCGCACTTGTTCCCGACACACAATACTCACAGTATCAGATCATGGAACGACACTTTTTTGATTTTTGCGGTTTTTGCACATACGAACCACTAGATTCCAGATACTTGACAATTTGAACCTATCCTTACGATTGAAATTTTTGTGTTTGGTTATTTCAATCGCTTCCCTGACCAATCTTGGTATTTAATGTGTGTCTTGGTTTGGTAATTCTCATTTCCTCCATACAACGGGGCATAAATTTATATTTTAATTTCCTTGAATAGTTCATTATACTTGAACAAAGAAGATAAGGATCAAATTTACTTGATAGAATATTGAATCAACTAGTTCAAAAAGCTTAGAAATTAACAATGATTATTTTAATAAATAAGTCTCTAACCCATTATTCAGTTAAGTAGTTGCGATAACGAACGAAACACAAATTCGCAATATTCTATCAGCCTTTGGTCTACAAACTTACTTATTTTCAATCTCGAATGAGATTCAAATGAATTGGCGTCATATATTAATTTATGATTCGTCAATTCTGCCGTCTTTAATATTCTTAGAGGAGCTCGAGGCGCAGTGGTAAGATCGTGCGGCTGCGATCATTGAAGTTAAGTAACTTTCGCAGTGGTCGGTCATTGGATGGGTGACCAAAAATCTTCTATCTCGAGTTCCTCCGTGCTTCGGAAGGCATGTTAAGCAGTTGGTCCCGGCTGCATCTGCAGTCCCTCCTATATATCGGGTTCACACGAGGCGATTTAAATTAATTAACTTTTATCGTTCAATTGCTTGTCTTCTGTTTGATTGCTTCAATTTGGTAGTAAGTCTGTTCAGACGATTCAAATCGCTTTAGCAAGTTAGATTGATCGACTCAACTAAAATCGCCTCTCGTGAACCCCGGTATTCCATTATCTATCGATCCTAATAAGGATATACATATGAAGAAAAACGATTAAACAATTTTATCTAATAACATAACTATAATGATGGGTAAAATAATTATTTCTAACACTCACACCAATTAGCCTAGCCCCAAAGTAATTACTGTAGGGCTTGTGTTATGGGATACTAGGGTAACGGATAGAATATATTTTCTGTACATACATAAATATATTTATATAGAAATACATGTCATCAAACATCCATGGATGGAGTACACATCTGCCCCCGCTGCGATTCGAACCCGGGACCTCTCAAGTCGGCGACAACATGTCGTCAAAAACAGGTCTTAATTTAAATTAAGAATGTTGGTACATTTTTGTCTATATCAATTAATTTTAGATCAAAGGCATAAAATTTGAGTGCGAAATGTTTTGAAACAGGGGACACAATTTTCTGAGCATTACGTGAACCAGTCTCTAGTTTAGAAACCACAATTAAATTTATTTAATGTTAAGTCCTTGGACTAAACTTATGTAAAATTCAGCGCAGAATAAAGGTCGTTAGTATTCACTAACTACTTTGTGCTTGTTATATTTTAATTAATGAAAGTCTGCTCTAGTCGTATGCTTTCACTGTTTAGAATTATAATAATTTCAACACTCTCCTTAAACATTAATTACGTTATCTTTTATATGCATGTATTTTTGTCCTTCTTCTTCTTTAATTTATTTTGCTTAACCATGCGTCACTTTAAAAAATCTAAATGTGATTTGTACCACAGAGATAATTAAAGTGAAATTTTACACTAACTTTAGACTGGGTACATGTGCATGCACGGTTTTCTGATCAGGTTTTTTGATTCAGAACTCCGTGAGCCAAACGCAGACGTTTCAGTTGTTTCATCATCATCATCCCATGTTCGTCCACTGCTGGACATAGGTCTCCCCTAATGCACGCCACTGCTTCCGATTTTGTGCTACTCTCATCCAGCCCACTCCAGCCAGCTTACGAATATCATCATCACATCTTGTCTCAGGGCTTCCTACACTACGTTTACTGAGTCGTGGTCTCCACTCAAGAACTTTCCGGCTCCAACGGCCATCAGTTCTGCGGCTAATGTGACCAGCCCACTGCCACTTCAGTTTGCTAATTCGGCGGGCTATGTCGGTGACTTTGGTTCTCTGTCGGATTACATCATTTTTGATGCGGTCCTTCAGGGATACTCCGAGCATAGCCCTTTCCATAGCTCTCTGAGCGACTTTAAACTGGTGGACTTGATTCGGTTGTTTAATATTTACAATCCGAACGGAATGCATTTTTTTCCCCATCTTGATAAAATGAGAAAAGTGTGCGCCTAGTTTGTAAACATTTTTTGCGTAAGGACGTGTATTCAGATTTCCGAATCGGAATCCCTGATCAGGTAACTGAATCAGTAAACCGTACATATGCACCCAGCCTAAGACTGTAATTCTTGAGCAGGAAAACGTGCGAAGATGCCCAGCCTACTATCATCACTGGGACAGTTATTGTACCTCATGTTGACTGCCGTCCTCATTTTGACTGCCGTCAAATAATACAACCCATATTTTAACTAACTTTAACTGAACAGCTGAAGTAAGTTGGCGCAACTCACGCTAAGCTGTTTATAGATTAACGTTTGGTAGAACGTAATATATTTTAGGATCTTGTAACAAATTTCTTTAATTAATTTTCTTAGCACAACAGGTTTTCTATGTAAATATCGTCGTCACTGTTTGGTTGTAGGTCTTCCACAAGATTGGAATAGAGAAAACGGGCCATGATGATCCATCATATGGGTCTGACCCATATGATATCATGCCCAATCTCCCTATTCCATCCATAGAGAAGGCCTGTGTCCCAGCCGTGGTGACATTAATAGGCTGATAATGGTGATGATAAAACCGAATGGACTAAATGCAACACCATCAAGCTCCTCAGTCACGTATATCATCATCATCATCAGCCTATTAATCTCCCCACTGCTGGGGCACAGGCCTTCCCTATGGATGGAATAGGGAGATTAGGCCATGACCCACCACGCGGGCCCAGTGCGGATTGGTGGGTGCTAACGACTGCAGATGCAGCCCGGACCAACGGCTTAACGTGCCTTCCGAAGCACGGAGGAGCTTGAGATAGTAAATTTTTGGTCACCCATCCAATGACTGACCACTGCGAAAGTTGCTTAACTTCAACGATCGCAGCCGAACGCGCTAACCACTTGCGCCATCGAGCTCCTCAGTCACGTATATACTGAGATAAAATGAAGCTACAAATCTAATTGATCTAAACTCATCTTAAAATCTTCTTAAACTGACATAAATATGCATGGATTGTCCTTGCTACACAAATGGAAAGGCAACTTCGGTGCTCCTTTCAAAAATTCCTGTCCCGAACCGTCTCTGTCAGACATACGTTTACCTAACAAAACACATTGCTCGCATAATCGTAATTCTAACTAATAAACTGAACTAAATCGGTAGTCAAAGCTTGCGAACAACGAATTTTATGGCAGCTATGTAAATGCTACCTATCCAAATTACTTGAGAACTTATTTTATAAGATGTTCTAAGAATTATTTAAGTAATGGAAACTATTATATGATATTAATAATATATTTAAATAAATTTTATATAATCTGTTAGTATTATCTTTTTTACAATTAATGAATTACTATTCATATTATTATTATTATTATTATTATTCGTGATTTTATAGCATAAAATAAAATTTAATACCTATTTTAATTTATTATAGATAGATATTTATATAAATTCTAAATTGTAATAGTCAGTTATGGCACTTATTAGCGTTTTTATGTAATCAAAGGTGTCACACTCCCTCTGTAATTAATTGATTGCTGCTTGCCCGACGGGGTCCATGATTGTGCATATTATTTTGTAACATCTTGTATAACTTACGGAAAGCAATAAAATATTGAGTATTGAGTACTATGTAGACACAAGACATTTTTTATTGTTCCCTAGGCACCGATCTGCGCGTTGCTTCGAAATACAATTTTTCCTAAAATAAGTCATAATAAAGTGATATATGTACGATAATTCTGTGATTACTAGATAGTATGTTAGATGCTTTACACTACAAATACGCAACTAACTTTCAAATTCACATGCAAAATCGTTCATTCTATTTGAGGCTGCTAAATGCACTTATGAATGTCTAAAAGCTTCGCCATCGATTCGTAAATCTATCTTGTCAGCAATGGTGGTTTTACTTCCTGTATAATTATAAAAAAATAGAGATAACTTAATTGTTAGAAATAAAAAAGAAAAATTGTGTGAGTCAGCTCCGACGCACGACTGGAGTTTACTCCTTAAGTTCGATAGTCTAACCAGACGCAAAAAGAGTTTATTTAACTTAAAAAAGATTGATACTGAATGAAAGGGTAAATTAACAAATTAATGAAAATAATATACATAAATAAATATATATTTATTCATTTCATATGTACACATTTATTATAACTAATCGACGAAATATTTTACATTAAACTTTTTACAATAGTCAATTTCAGATGTGCATGAATGTTGATAAATTATGTAATTATTATTATCAGACTATTATCATTTTTTTAAATATTATTAAATCAATATTGTCTTATTTTTATTATCATTATTAATTACAGTGACAAGTGGTTTATGGTTATTAATGTCAATCCGTCATCTTTGTTTGTCAAAGTTGCGCGACATAGGATGCGCACCAAAAACGTAACGAGGTCATTTATCGATAGATTTTACTCCTCACATTTTTCTCATACCGGACCCCTTATATATGCAAATCGATTCTTAAGGAGTAACCTCCAAAAACAAGCCTTAAATAATATGTTGCTATTTCCTTGTTACAGAACTGAGGGAAGCCTTCGAAGCGGAAGCACAGGAAGTGAAGAAGCCACGACTTCTGCTGACGGCTGCTGTGCCAGTCGGCCCTGACAACATCAAGAGTGGTTACGATGTACCAGCAGTGGCGGGGTGAGACTAATACGCTCAGTACCCTTCATCATTCATCATCATCATTAGCCTATTAATGTCCCCACTGCTGGGGCACAGGCCTTCCCTATGGATGGAATAGGGAGATTGGGCCATGACCCACCACGCGGGACAATGCGAATTGGTGGGTGCTAACGACTGCTGATGCAGCCGGGACCAATGGGTTAACGTGCCTTCCGAAGCACGGAGGAGCTCGAGATAGTAAATTTTTGGTCACCCATCCAATGACCGACCACTGCGAAAGTTGCTTAACTTCAACGATCGCAGCCGAACGCGCTAACCACTTGCGCCATCGAGCTATTCAGCACCCTTGGCACGAACCAATATCGAATTGGAATAGTTGAACTCGATCTCGATAAGCGTCGAATCTCAAGAAGTTTTGAATGCAAGATTTTGAATTCACGTTACGTCCGTTATGGCGCTGCTCTTATTTCCATAACGTACCAACACATGACGTCATTCGACATTGAAAATTAATAAATTTATCTCTGTTGTATTTTGATTAAGTGAAACAAGAGAAAAATAGTTGTCCAATACTTTTTGATAATCTACCTGATAGTTGAAGAAACAGTTAGTCATCATCCCTATTACGAAGAAAAGCAAAGGATATCAACCTTCGATTCGATTCGATGAAACGGAAGTAGAGTATTTAACACAAACAGGTATCCGTAATTTTATGATTTACTACAAGAGACAGATAGCCAAACGGTAACGGTCTTGGGGTCGACACTAAATGATCGATGGATCGATCCTGAGCTCGGTTATTTTTTTAATTGTTTTAATCGTTATTTTTTTCTTTTATTAAGCTATTGGTGTCGATTCTGGCATGATTCTCTAAACCTAAACTTAAATTTGACAAAAGTGTATCCTTGTCATTCTCTATACAGAATGAAAAGGAGAATCTGATTTTAAATTTAGTTTTAAGTTTAGAGAATCACACCGGAATCGACACCATTATTTATTTCTCGAAGCAATTTAAGTAAAGATTATTTAAATTTGCCCAGTATTTTACATGGTGCCCATTGGACCCCCAAAAGACGAAATTAACTTCACAATAGGACCAATAATAATGTATGAAACTCGAACGATTTTTTCTAGACTTTTAACCAAAACGTTTTCAACCACTAGGTTTACTTTGAGCATTCTGAAATAAGATGTTTCGTTTGATTTTTATTTATTAACAGGAATTTTACAGTGTCCTTATTTTTTTGTATTTTGAAAAAATCTTTCCGAAATATTATACTCGGCTCGCACAAAATAGAACATGCAAAGTAGAACCTTTGCGTCTTTGACCGTGACCAAGTCCATACACGCGACTCGTATCATTAAATTAGTTCATTATAAACTGCTCCAATCAGTCTTGACGGATTTATAATTACCCGTATAAGGAACAGCTGTCGACCTTCTGTTTTGTTAACATAATGACGCACATTGGTTATAAATTTAGACACCACACCCGGATGGATACTATTGGGGGCGACTGGGTCTATTATATCGCAAAATAAATTATTGCGAAAATGACAGTTAATATAATTTTTTAAGCATTTAACTGATAGATGTTTAAATAAAAACAAACATTTTATTACAAAAAATCCACGCGGTCCAGACAGCATAGGGGACTCGAACCCGCAGCCTCCGCTATGCAGACGGATGCTTTGACCTGCAGCCTAAGAAATACAAAAGAAAATTTCACACAGCTATTAGGGCCGCGGCAGCATAATGGTCATTGCATCCGCCCGGATAGCGGTTGGTGCGGGTTCGAGTCCCGTCTGCTGCCTGGCCCGCGTGGATTTTTCTCGTAAAATTTTCTTTAGATATGTATGTCAATAAATACCAAATTTTAAGGACAGTTGTAGATATTGTTATCAAACTATTATTTGTAATTGTGTTATACAATCGGTTGTATTTACTCGTATCTATATATATAAAACTCAAAGGTGACTGACTGACTGACATAGTGATCTATCAACGCACAGCCCAAACCACTGGACGGATCGGGCTGAAATTTGGCATGCAAGTAGATGTTATGACGTAGGCATCCGCTAAGAAAGGATTTTGATCAATTCTACGCCCAAGGGGATAAAATACCGAAGCGAAGCGAGAGCGGGCCACTAGTTTTAGATAAGAACAAATACCATTTCATCACTTCTTCACACTGCTGGTAGGGGCTTGGCATACTTCCCACTAAAGTTTTAGGGCTTACTGGAGAAGTAACCTCCATCGTATAGAAGGCCACAGTATAACGATATCAACCTATCATTGGGTTGTGTTGTGTTTCTGTTCTTAATTATGGTTCCAAGGCTCCCGAAACACAATCTCTTCGATTGGGGATTGGCTGGACCAGGAGGTCTACTCTTTTTCAACGAAAAACGAAGTTTCGATCGAAATTTCGCACGTTCCTTACTCTGTTTCCTTTTCATTTTGAAAATTCGTTCGTCCGAAAATAGTTTGACAGTTAAATTCTCAAAGCCTACTTACTCTAATTCACAAAACTTTCGAATGAAAAGTTGAATTTGACAGATGATTGTTCGAAATTTTAACCTCAAATTGACGAAATGAAAAGTTTTACCTTATCATTTTCGTTTTGAGATTTTTGTTTTCACTAAGCCTAATATGCTTGCAAGAGTATTTTGTAATCAAGGCTGCTTAGCTCGAAGGGCATTTTTTTGCATGTAAAATTAGCAAAAACATCCTTGATTTTTTTATTTATTGTAATTCCAATACTTCAAAGTATTAAACGACAAATTTAGGTTGATTGAAAATAGATTGTAACAACTCTACTAATTAGTCGGCTAACACTGTCAAAGAAGGTTCATTCAATGTCATCAAAAATTTTGCCGTAAACTACCTATGTTGTTTCCAAGTAAAAAACAGAAATCTCAAAAGTAGAGATAAAAAGAACTCACAAACGTGGTTCATTCCATTCGTTCACGAATACTGTTTGTGGTTCTGAACTTTATGTGCCTGTTAAAAAATAAAAAGAGTAGAGTCAGTGGCGAAATTTCGTTTCAAATTCGTTCGTTACCGAAATTGCGCTGCGGAGAAAGAGAGTAAAGCACCAGAACACTAAACTTTTCAGCCACACAAGATATGTTCACGGTAAATATCGGGTAGGTTAAGAAAATTTTGCTCTGCCTTTGAATAAAGCTTCTGTATCACGTCTTTGGCATTGATTCGCAGTATCAAAAAGGTTGAAGTAACAGCAATATCCTACACTAAATCCGATACTATGTAGAATGTCTTCTATTTCCACTCGGGTATGATAGCAATTGTGCATTATTTATAAGTATTTGTATTTATACTGTACTAGCTGTGCCCCGCGGTGTTACCCGCGGTTTATTAGGGATATTTGCCCGCAGTAAAACGTAGCCTATGTTTTAACCCAGGGTGTCAGCTCACTTCATGCCAAATTTTATTAAAATCACTCCAGCCGTTTAGACGTGACGAAGTAACAAACATACACACTCACAAACTTTATCCTTTATAATATTAGTGTGATGACAGAACAGTACTCATAATGTGAGTGGGCCACTGCCGGATTTAGGGGAGGGCAACCGGGGCGAAAGCCCCGGGGCCTCCACAAACAGGGGGTCCCCACAATAGAGACTTCGGAAAAAGAAATCTTTCAAATTCCAACTAGTAAACACTAGTGAACATCTTTTCCTTTGATATTTTTTTTTGCTCTTTTACCTACCTACTTTACCTACAGCCTACAGTACAGGGAATCTACTTGGTTCACAATAAATTATTTTATTAAAAAAGTCGACTGAAAAAAAAATTTTTACTTTATTTGGAAAATAATTTGGGGTGAGGGGGCCTCCGCTCCTCTGTTGCCCCGAGGCCTCTAGACCTCTAAATCCGACCCTGGAGTGGGCGTTGTCTTGACAGAGATTTTATGTAAATGTTACTACTTCTGTTTAATACAGATGGGTTTCTTGCGCCCGTTTTCTCCTCAGCTAAAAGATATCCTGAACGGGTGGTAGTAAAAAATATTGGATTAAAAACAGCTTTTCAATAATCCAATCCGAAAAAATATAATTTAATTTCTTTCATTCTCAGGACAATAAAGAAAATCGCACACATTAAACTCATACTAATTAATTGATATAATTCTTTGCAGTTACCTGGACTTCATCAATTTGATGGCGTACGATTTCCATGGTAAATGGGAACGCGAGACCGGCCACAATGCACCACTGTACGCACCATCATCGGACTCTGAGTGGAGGAAACAACTGTCTGTGGACCACGCAGCCCACCTGTGGGTCAAATTGGGAGCTCCCAAGGATAAACTCATAATTGGTAAGATACATAAGGCAAGGTTTTAGGGAAAGATTTATATATTTAAATTAGAAGTGATAAAGACGTGATAAAATTATATCGCGGTGCATACGCTAGAGGAGCAGGGCAAGAATTTGGAATTGAGTTTTCAATGTAAGACGGAAGGGTAGTTTAATGTTATTGAATAGAATAGAAATAAATTTATTAGCCTTCAACACAGTCAGATTTACATTAAATAAAACAAGACAAAATAGGCCAACTAGGTCCCTGCCTCAGCTTAATACTACAGCAACATCAGGGCTGCTGCAGCGCTGATAATTCTGGCAGGGCCTAAGGTTCATGACACAGAAAATAAATAAAACAACAATAATACACCAAAAGAAACAAGCATACCAATTAGTACATATCAAAGAGAAAAAAAATGGAATGGCTGTATAATTTTACAATCTTAGCCTTAAGACAAATGCCAAGATTTAATAAAAAAAATAAAAAAAAGAATGACTAATCTGTGGGAGGACAGAGTACAAACTGAACCTTATTGCGCGTTTCCAAGGGTGTCCTTGGACCAAAGACTTGTTTGCAAGTCCCAGGCACAGTTTGGCATTCCTCTCTCTGGTATGCGATGGACATGACATGTACTGATCAGGAATTCAGATTTAGAAATCTGAATGCACGTCCTCACATACGAAATGTTCAACGAGGCGTATACTATTCGGATTTTTCTAGAATGGAAAAAACCTGACGTTTGGTTCGGACTAGAACTAATAAAAAAACCGAAACTTACGGAATACGAGATCAGGAAACCGTATCAGAAAACCGTCCGTATATGTGCGTCCAGTCTTATACATTAAAAAATCATCGCTATGAAGTTTCGTCATACTCGACGCTCTCATATAACTTTTTTCTTAATGTAAGTTTATGAATAATTAAAGATAGATGAGTGAAAGCACAGTAAATATATTAGTTAAAAAAAGGTTCAATTTGCGAGTTTCATTAAAATGAAAAGGAAAGTGGGAGTTTACCAATTTACTTAACGTAAAAGGTACAGGCTCTACTTTCCCTAATATTTGAAGACGGGAATTTTTAATTAAAATTTACAGTTAAAGTGTAAAAAAACATTTAATTTAAAAAACGATCAGACTGTTTGATGATGTTAACTATACCGTCCCAATCGGACTGAGCTTTTAAAAAAACATTTTATTGTTTTTTTTATTTTTTTTAGCATTGAACTGCTTCATCATTAAATCTAAAGAAATTTTTACTAGTTTGAGTACCGTCTGCTGCCTGGACCTCGGATTTGTGTTTATTTTTTTATTTGGATATTTATTTTAGTCTTTAATTTTTTTTTTAAATAATAATATGCTAAGTAATAAATTAATCTACCTGGTAACCAACCATAACGTAAAGAAAATTGTATTCTAAAACATGCCACAGCGTAATTTATTTAGGCACATGTTACCGAAATTTTACTTGTTAAAAATCATGTCGTGTTACTTGGAAATTACACGCATGAAGCTTGTCTGTCAAGCGAAGGGTGACCATCCTTCCAGAATTATTCGGATAAATTAAAATTCGATTTTTTTTATTAAGATGAAGATATTTTGTAAAGAAGATAATTAAATAAATATTTCTATGTAAATATAATAAACCATAGTAAATAGCCATACTTCCATACTAAAATATTTGCGACAGCGTGTCTGTCTGTTACCTACCTCTTCACGCTTAAATCTCCGATATAATTTGAATGAAATTTAGTATAAAGATAGTCTGACTCGATCCTAAAAATCACTCTTTAAAGGGGTTAAAAGGGGATAGAAATTGTACGGGAAACCATTTTTTTTACGTAAACGAAGTTGCAGGCAGCCGATAGTTGTAAATTAACATAGTCATGATTCAGACTCATTCCACATAGATCGATTTACATTACACATTTAATTTTTCCTAGTTTAGGTGTCAGCCCGCTAAAATTAGATAAGTGACCTTTTTACTTAGTGTTTTAATGGAATAAGAAACTGATTATGTTGAGAAATAAAGAATTATTATTATTATTCCCTCACTACCATAAAACAATGGTCACCCCAATTAGACAATGCTTCTCCACAAAGTTAGTGCGCGTAAACAAAAGCTTCCCTCTATTCCAGGTATGCCGACCTACGGACGCACCTTCACCCTGTCGAATCCCAACAACTTCAAAGTGAATTCGCCGGCCAGCGGGGGCGGCAAGGCGGGAGAATACACAAAGGAGTCCGGATTTCTAGCTTATTACGAAGTATGATACTATTTTATTTTCTCATTAATATTATAAAGGCGAAAGTTTGTGAGTGTGTATGTTTGTTACTTCTTCATAAAATAAGTTATTTGACAGTATTAAAAATAAAGTGCCAATTGTTAGCATCTGTGTTTAGAATGAATATATGATGATGGCCATATGGTCCAGAAAAACGTTTTCGCGACAACTCGAAAATGGAGTTTTTGATTTGGTTATTTTTACTGAAATACACAACACAATGATTAATATCCACCTTTTACGGACTCCTTAAACATTAGTCAATAACGTGAGATCGTTTTCTAAAACTTGTCAAATACCCTATTTGGTATGGAGTTAGCTGTCACCCTGGATTAACACATAGGCTACGTTTTACTGTAGGAAAATGTCCCTAATAAAACGCTGGTAACACCGTGGGGCACAGCTAGTATATTTTATATTAAAAAGTTGGCAAACAAGCATTTGGCCCGCCTAAAGGTAAGCGGCTGCCATATCCTTTAGACGTTTGCGGTAGGCTTGTTAAAAATATATCGATGTATCGATATATCGATATTTTTTGTTCGATATATCGATATTTTTTGCCGATATATTTTGATTCGATATATCGATACATCGATACAAAATAACCAATATCGAAATTCGTATCAAAAACGATATTTTTTTAATTATTAGCGGCATATCACGATCTAACTAAATTCGTATCTGGAAAAATCGTAACTGGATCTCAGATTAATGATATTCAACATATCTATGATCTGTGCTTTATTTAGTATTGTCTATGTCATCATTCGAAAATAGAGTCTATTTTTAGGGAGATAATTTTCGTTCCATTATTATTCCGCGTGTCATATTTCGTGAGCTACTGTACGATATTTTTGGGAAAATTGGTCCGATATATCGATATATCGATATTTTTTTCAACTTTCGACATCCCTAGTTTGCGGTACAAATAATATCACTCGAACCGTGCATATCCTCTCCCCCGATCCTCTGAAACCTAACTCACCGATAGAAACACGACACCACCGAAAGACAGTGTTTATTTACTGTAGTCTTCTGTAAGGTGGTGGTTACTTCTTCAGACGGGCGCTCCAATCAGAGCGGCAAATCCGCTATGCCCTACCTCTCTTGAAGATAAATCTATAATATAAAAATGTGTTGCTAAGCACAAATCTTGCGAACAGCTGAACCGATTTCGATAATTCTTTTTTAAGAATATTCTTTGAAGTACGAGGATGGTACTTATGCAGAGAAAAATTTAAAAAATTGCCTGAAAAAGTCAAAAGCTCCACTTTTCTATACTCCCATACAAACAATTCGTAATAATACTTAAAAGTCAATTTGAACTTTAATACCATACCATTAATTTAAAATGTTAGTGGAGAGGTACCGGAAAGGCAAAACAATTGATAGACGTGATGTCACTAGAAGTTTGAAAAAGGAAAATATACCATTTTCAGTTTTTTTTTTTTATAAATGAAGAGTCATTTTAGTCTACACTACAGCTCTACACCGAAGCGAATCGAGGGCCGGTCACTAGTAATTAAAAAAATATTTCCAACACTCACACCAATCAGCCTAGCCCCAAAGTAAGCACTGTAGGCTTGTGTTATGCGATACTAACTAGGGTAGCGGATAGAATACATATACGTATACTGATACATATATAAGTATATTTATAAAGAAATACATATTAAACATCCATGACTGGAGTACAAATGCTCGTATTCATCACACAAACATCTCGAGTAGGCGACACCTTGAAATCCGGCGTACAAACCACTCGGCCACGGAGGTCGTCACTACTGAGATACTTATCTCTTATCTATTAGACATGTCCGTCCGTCCGTCCGTCCGTCCGTCCGTCTGTCTGTGGTGCTGTTTCAGCGGCCAAACCGTAAGAGATAGATAAAGAGAATGTTTAAGTTATAAGTTAAGAATAGTCTGATAAGACTACAAACCGGATTTGAGTAACGTAGCACTTCCGGTTTTCGAGAAATCACGAATTTCAAACGAAACCACACAAAATCTCCGAAGTTCTCAATTAATTAAATACATTTTTTTTATTTTTTTATTTTTTTTAAATTAGGTTTTGGTGAACCTTTGGTTCACTGGTTTGCTAGTATAACTCTAATAAAACACACATCAATTAACATTGCTCCAAAGTAAATACTGTAAGGCTTGTGTTATGCGTTTCTATGGTAACAGATAGAATACATATTATCCTGATACATATCCTTATCATGAGTACAAATACTCGCATTAATTATTAAAAAAATATTAAGCTTTTATTAAAGATTAAGAAGTTTTATATTTGGTTATCAATATTAAAATAAATTTTAAAACATTAACTTAAAGGCAAGCGAACACAAAGCGAAGTTTTCAATTCAATTTGTACTTACTTAAAAATTTCGATGATGTTCCAAGTAAATGCAAAAGTAATTTCGCTAAAAGCTCGCTATTTCCTCAGTTCTCTTTTTACTTCAGCGTCTAACCAACTTAGTTGCACCGCTGAAAATAATGTTATTAGCATGAATTAAGTAATGTTTCTATTTTTTTTAAAACTAAACGCTATGTAGACAATTTTCCTTTAGTTCGTTCTGAAACGAGGTTCAGCTTTACTGAAATTATTTATTGGAACGAAGTTCCTTACGGCAGGCTTGGAGGGGATAGGGATTTTGCTGCGCGACCGAACTGAAAAAAATGTGATAGTAAAACCGTAAGAAAAAATCCGTGGAAAAAAGTGCGTGGAATAAAACCGTTAAATGAGACGTGCGCAGGCGCGAAGTTCCTTACGGCAGGCTTGGAGGGGATAGGGATTTTGCTGCGCGACCGAACTGAAAAAAATGTGATAGTAAAACCGTAAGAAAAAATCTGTGGAAAAAAGTGCGTGGAATAAAACCGTTAAATGAGACGTGCGCAGGCGCGACAGTCGCATACACAAGCGAGTTTGCAATTTGTGTCGATTCTACATTAGCTGAAGGAACTTCGTTCTTACCTGGTGTCCCATGACACCACATCATTTATTATTTGTTTCTTAGGTTTTCACGCATACCACTCATAAAATAAAACAAGTTTCAACGGTATAGATAGATGCACTGATTTATTTATTTGTTGACGTTTCGCAACCTTTTCATTCAGACGCCACATCCTGAAAAGAATGCAAATCGTCAATAAATAAATCATCATCATCATCATCAGCCTATTAATGTCCCCACTGCTGGGGCACAGGCCTTCCCTATGGATGGAATAGGGAGATTGGGCCATGACCCACCACGCGGGCCCAGTGCGGATTGGTGGGTGCTAACGACTGCAAATGCAGCCGGGACCAACGGCTTAACGTACCTTCCGAAGCACGGAGGAGCTCGAGATAGTAAATTTTTGGTCACCCATCCAATGAGCGACCACTGCGAAAGTTGCTTAACTTCAACGATCGCAGCCAAACGCGCTAGCCACATGCGCCATCGAGCTCCTCCAATAAATAAATAAACCGGTGCATTTATACCATTGAAACTTATTTTATGAAATGATTTATTTTTTAGAAAATTATTTTTCTGAACATTAAGAACCCTTTTACAAAATTGCGCCGCTGCCGTACTGATCGAAGCGTAGGTAGATTTGCACTAGTATATATTGCATTTTACGCGTGATATTTAGAGTCTTATAAAATAATTATTAATGAACTTACCATAAAAATACTCGTATATACATATTTCAGTAGTTCAATCAATCAAATCTACCATAGATTAGTTTTATGAAAGTTTTTGATTGTGATTCTATTTAATTCAATATCAAAATACGAGGTAAACCTGCATTATTTTTTGAGAAAACTCATGGAGGTTAGATGTTTTTTTTGATAATTAATGAGATGGAAAATCAATTCTAATGCATTATGTTACAACAAAAACATATTTTTGATGTCGTAGTAATAAATTTGATCTAATTTATTGAACATTATTTAGGCGTTTGAAGTTGTGCATATTATTATTTTTTCCGTAAACTAGCTGCGGTAGAACGATCGGTACAAAAAAAGGAAAATAGATATTTGCAAATATTCTCCATTAACTTACAATAGGAAGAATAAATATACTGTGTACTTTTATTAGAAATAGATAAAAAAATTCTAAGGGGGTAAGCGAGGCGCTCAAAAATTACATTTTTTTGCAAAAAATGTGAAAGAGCTCTTAAGCTGAAGCTTGATTGTTTGTTCTTGATTGGTTGAAGTTGATGCTAATTTCATATTCTGTTAACATTGTAACACTCTGGACGTGATTTGAAATTTCGCTTTGCTTTGTTTTAACGTGAATTTAATTTCCAGGTATGTGAAATACTGCGCAACGGTGGGACGTACGTTTGGGATGACGAAATGAAGGTTCCGTACGCCATCCAGGGAGATCAGTGGGTTGGCTTCGATGACGAAAAGTCGATCAGAAACAAAATGAGGTGAGCGCTTCTCAAAGAGGACGATTTACTCAAAGATCTAGTCACACATCACCAGCCTATTAATGTCCCCACTGCTGGGGCATAGGCCTTCCTTATGGATGGAATAGGGAGATTGGGTCATGACCCACCACGCGGGCCCAGTGCAGAGTTCAGAGTGCATTGACCAATTATGCTACCGGGCGAATGCACTGACCAATTATGCTACCGCGGTAGCATAATTGGTCAGTGCATTCACCCGGTAGCGAAGGGTGCGGGTTCGAGTCCCGTCTGCTGCCTGGTCCACGTGGATTTTTTTCTAGTTATATTTTCTTTAGATTTAAAGCAAAGAGGTTAAAAAACGTTAGTAAGGTTAATAGGATTTGTATCTTTTTCGACGAAGTAAATTATCTGTCTTTATGCAAATCTGTCCTTATACTAATCTGGGATTTGGCTATTCCGGGATATTGCTTGATCGATTTTCCACTTGAGCGCATGTCTGGGGAAGTAACTTCAACAATGTAATTATAAAATTGAGTATAGTCAAATGTGTTTCTGTTGATTAGTAAGATTCCAATTCTCTACGGGTTGGGAATTGGGTTCAAGTCGCAAAGGTGAGGAAGACTTAACTGGAATATTTTCCCTGTTAGCTATCTATGTAACTGGAGTGTGGATTGGGATAATTTTCTACGGCTATGAATAATGCTATACGTTTCATCTTTTGCCTCCGAAAATTCGACCATGTTTCTTCATAGCAATCCTAACTAAAATGGCTTCCTATTCGCCAGCGCAGGCAGTTAAGATTACTCTGCGCTCTTTTTTCCTTAATTTCCAACCCTCATTCTCCAGAGTACTTGCAATTCAAGTTTCAGTATGCCTGTGATAGCCACGACCGTCCTCTCCGCTCTGCTGATTCATTAGCAGAGCTATATTCCTCTTTCTCATTCAGACTATATGTCTAACTTCTTTACTGGGAAAGAATGCTTTTAGCATTAAGTCCGGCTTTTGCATCACTGTTATATAGTTTGGTCAATAAAGTTTAAAATAAATAGAAAAGAAAGTAAGGATTTCTAAAGAGCTCTGTGGGGTACAGAACAAAATAATCAGAAGTGTAAAATAAAATGGCGTTCAGTTCTCAAAGTATAGGACAGACCTAGCATTGTAAGCAGGCATTGTAGGCAACATGCGAGTGGTATTCCTGGCTTCGTATGCTTCCATATATTACGGCGCCTGTACTCGTAAGGTTAGCTCAGCACACATTCGAAACATAAAGATACTGAAATTATAACAGGCGTTAAACTACTATTTTCTACGTACAGGTGGATCAAAGACAATGGCTTCGGTGGTGCTATGGTCTGGACTGTCGACATGGATGACTTCAGCGGCGACGTGTGCGGTAACAACGTCAAATACCCGCTCATCGGTGCCATGAGGTAAATATTATTTATTTTTGACGGATCACCAGTGAACGATACAAAGAATAATTAACATCTAACACAATTTCACAAAACAAGGGACAGTGTACATTCTATTTAAGGCAACCACAACATGCAATATATGAGCAGAAATGTTTTTTTTTAAATTACATTTATTCATCTTTATTAATGAAAACATAGTAAAAATTAAAACTAAATTGAATTTTCACAAATATACTAAACACAGGAATACATAACGTTGATTAAATTAAATTGGAATACATTACATTATTTGAATTAGAAAAATTGGAATATTGACAACTGCTTTTATTACATCCAAACAATAAAATGACTTCTTTACTGCTAATTAGTCTAGCACTTGAAGAGGTTGCGCTTTAACTATGAAAGCGTTTTCATTTAAACCTTTGATAAACTAACAAAAACTTATTTTCTTACTAAACAAGTAGCTTTTTAGTATCTGTAATAGGACTAGAACACAACTAAACGTTTCGTTCTCCTCAGGGAGGAACTCCGAGGCATATCCCGTGGTAAAGACGCCAAGGACGTTGACTGGTCTGAAGTAGCATCTAGCGTGGTTGTGGAAGTGACTGAGAAGCCAGAGCCCATCAAGATCAGCCTCTCCGATGTTCTGACAAGGGTCAAGAAACCACACAAGAGTCACATTATTAAGAACAACAACGCTTTGGCCGTGGTCGATAAAAACAGTGAGTTGAATGTTAATTATAATCTATATTTACGTATCTCTGTGGTCGAGTGGTCGTACCTTGGGTATGAGTGTTTTGGTCGTACCTCGGGTATAGGTGGTTGTGGTAGTTTTATTATAAAAATATGTTTAAAAATTACTTCCAAATATGATAATCATAATTTTAATAAATTATTTAGTTAATCATTAATTACGCTCAACATAAATCTATTTCTTCCGATGTTGACATTAGCATCAAAGGTGCAGCTTGACAGTTGAAATACATATTTACATCACTTATATAGCTACTAGCTGACCCAGCGAACTTCGTACCGCCCTAAAAAAATAGGGGTTGTCCAGCGAATTTTGGGATCTGAGAATGGTTTAGAATTGTGAATCTAAACCATTCTCAGATCCCCTTGAACACGCACAAAAAATTTCATCAAAATCGGTCCAGTCGTTTAAGAGAAGTTCAGTGACATACACACTCACTGAAGAATTATATATATAAAGATAACGTAGCAACACTTCGCAGATAATTTTATTGAAAAGTTAATGATTTAATTTTTTTGTGATATTCTATAATATCGATATATTTTTTAACTATCTATACTTATTTAGAATAAGATCTATAAATACATTCTTATAAAAACCTCACGCTTTTTAAACTGAGGCAAAAATATATCCTACATTTCCTAACGTGGAAATTTTCTCTGTAAAGGATCGGGTTGACGTAAACACAATCTTCATACAATACTTTGGGATCGTGAGGCATTGCACGTGACGTTAAAAGCAACAAATCTTGAAGCGAGCACAAGGGTCACTTCCAGAGCTGTGCCGCGTCGCTCGCAGCTGCCAAGAATGGCTTACGAAAGTCGACAATTCGCGACATAGTATCTAAAAGTTTGAAACATCGAGTGCTTTCACGTTCAAGCGTTGCGTCGACCAACCAAAAACACAGGAGCCACATCTTTTCTTCGACATTCTGAGACCGTTAAAGCTCTTACGTATTTGGGGGGGTTGTGCCAAATGGGCTCCCTGATTTAATGCCATCAAGTTTATGACGCAACATGCCGCGACAATCTTTACAAGTAGGCACTTCCAAGTTTTACGCTCTCACCAAAACGTATAGGTTAGGTAATAACATGTTTTCAATGTTAAGGAGTATGCCCGAGGTTTTCCCAAGAACTCCGTGGAAGTCATGAAACTTCTTTTTTATTGGCCACCGGATTTATGAGAGTTATGAATACTTGACGAGATTATAAGCAATATCTTTTCTCACACTGTGACTTTCACGGTACTTTCGTGATTGATGTCACCTAATATTAAATCTACCATCTGTTACAATGTGGGAGACGGTGAAATGTGTTTTAATAGTTTGATTCATTATTTTACGGTCAATGAATGCATTTTTATTCATTGAATATCATATTAGAGAGACAATTTTTCACAGAGGTAAAGACTCTTTAGTAAGTGGCATTTACGACTATTAGAAAATATTTTGAAAATTATTTGAGTAACTGTCTCAGGTTACATTACAACTGTACTGAACTTTGATATAAAATAAAACTTTTCTAATCTTTCCGCCATATTAGTAACTTGTGAATTTTTATCTAGCATTAATGTAATTATGACGTATGGGTTTCTTGTATTGTAATTTTAGGCATTAATCTGCTATAATATAAATAAACCTACTAAAAATCATGTCTGAAATCTAAAAACGAGTGGTTTTTTTTTCTTTTAAAAATTTATTGTTGATTTTGTTTCTAAGATCTTAGTTATTGTAGGTAACATAATCTTGTTGTACTGATGACAATTATTGTCTCATTTATTTTTACATGAGTGCGCTGAAATAATTACTACCATTTATGACTTTTGTTTTTGACTAATCCTTTTTTAATCTTTCCAGAGCGCGATCCTCAAGTGCTTTGCTACCTCACATCCTGGTCCTCCAAAAGACCCAGTGCCGGTCGCTTCACCCCAGAGAACGTTGATCCCACCCTCTGTACTCACGTCATCTACGCTTTCGCCACGCTCAAGGATCATAAACTCGCTGAAGGCGATGAGAAAGACGCTGACATGTACGATAAGGTCGTGGCTTTAAGAGAAAAGAACCCGAATTTGAAGGTAATAGAAAATAATAATACTTTATTTATACATAGTTAAAACAAGGTTAAAACGTTAAAACAGTATCAAATCGGCCTTGAGAATTGGCAGAGTTTCAAAGACGTGGGACAATAAGAACGAATAGACAAATTTGTTCAAAATTACTTTACTAGTCTACTACTACTTTTTAAACATCTAATCTATATAATCTAATAGAATTTCAGAGTCAGTTTAACGTAATTTCTGAATAGGTAAAGAGTAAAAGAATAATAAGAAATCACAGATCTCGCGCTCTACATGGCTTGAAAAGGCATTGAAAATGAATCTACCTATTAACGTAAATACTTTTGTTGGATTTATTTTGCATTTCTCGCTGTCATCTAAGGAGAAGTGAGTGTGGCTGAAAACCAGCGCTGCCCGAGACATTCTGCAACGAAGCAGTTTATGCTGAGCCACATCCATTTGCTCTTCACGCTGTCATATCGCATTTTACTATGTATTACTGTGAGAACAATAAAAATATTCATATTTCTATTTCTTCTATTTAAAGATTACAAAAAAAAAATAACTTTTCCAAAATATTTTTACACCTTCTTAAAGCCCTTGAAATCCCGCGTCTTTTGAGCTTACATACGTCGTCATGGCCCTAAACCTGGGGGTAACACGAGCGAGTCGCACTTTTAGCGAAAATGGGGCCTACTGGAGCAAACGAAAAAACATTTTCAATGTTAAATAGAAGTTTTGAACATGTGATTGTAAGCAAACAATAACACCAAAGGGAGAATGTAATATTTTCTGACACTGAAATGAATCAAAGTGTTCTGTAATTCTGATCGTAATACAAAAAAATAATAATCATTTTTATATTTCAAGGTAGCTTTTGGGACCGCAGTCTCATTAGGGAGCATTCTTTTTGCTTGAAAAACTTTTCAATTTCAATTCTATGCTTAAATGCAAGCAGATCATCTAAAATTTATTATCCCAAAATTATAATATTCTTTACATTTTTGGGTCTCTTATGTTCTGGAGGCCTACTCTATTTCAACGAAAAACGAAATTTCGATTGAAATTTCGCACGTTCCTTACTCTGTTTCTATTTTATTTCGAAAATTCGTTCATCCGAAAATAGTTTGACATTTAAATTCTCTAAGCCTACTCTAATTTACAAAACTTTTGAACTAAAAGTTGAATTTGACAGATAATTGTTCTAAATTTTAACCTCAAATTGACGAAATGAAAAGTGTTACCTTTTTATTTTCGTTTTGGGATTTTTGTTTAAATTAAACCTAAAATTACTACTAGAGTATAGAGGTGTAAAAGTAACGAAAAAAAGCGTACCCGTATGTATTCGTTACTTTAACAATTAGTACTCGTTACTATAGTATCGTTACGTTACTCGTTACTTCTCATAAAAAAATCGGTTTTACTATTTTGAAATTTTTAACCGTGAGCTTATGTTATATCACAATAACATCGCAATCCATTATTTATCAATTATAATGATAAAGCAAATAGGTCTCGAAAATTATTGTATTGATAATAATACTTAAATAGCATTCTAACGATAAATCAACTTAAAAATCTGCTTAGAATAAAATTAAACATAACGAAAGAAAGAACTACTACAAAAACCTTTTATTCTCAAAATAAAATCATAAAAAAAATAAAAATATTTTAAACGAAATCTATCAAGTTTGCTTTTTCGATAAGCTTCTGTGAGGTAGTCAACTCGACAATGAAGTTCTGACGTCCATTTGACCGGAATAGCGTATATTTTAATAATTCCACTAATTCCTCAGTTACAGTTTGTCTATAAAGTCGTGACATTAAATGATGGCGCCACTAGTATGCATGTAGCAACCCTGTACAGTCTGACCAAAATGATTTTGATACTAGCAGTTCATTCTAGTAAAATAGGTAATTAGTAAGACACACTATACAGCCGTATTTTGTTTCTTTTTTATATATAGTAGGTACCTATGCTTATAAAAAGTTTAGCCAAGCATATTTAATTGAATCAGAATAAAATTATTATAGATAAAATAGTACTTTATAGTGTAAAAGTGTGTAATGTTGGTGATTACCACTGAGGTGCCATTGAGACCAGAGCCGTTAGGTAATCATCAATACACACAAGTATCATGTCATTTTTTAACACACTTGTTAAGAAAATAATACTCAAAATCATTTTATAGTATATAAAAAGTTTATTTAGAGAAACAATTTGTAAATGTGCAGTTAGTAAAATTAGTGATAGGTATCTTCACTAAAAGCATCTGGCCATGGTTCTTTATGTGACCATTTCTTTCTTTGGTCGGCCTTGCCTGTTTTCCCAGGAGTTTCAAACTTTCCATCATTCATAAAACCTTTGTTGACTATCCGATATTTATTGACATGAAGCAATTAATTCAAAATTGTTAGAAAACCTGACCGAGTTGAACCATAATAACGTATCAAAAGAAATGGTCGTACTACAATATTACCTGTTTACAATGTCAATGTAACCTAAAAATGTGCAATGTAAACAATGCCTTTTTTGGTCTCAAAATCGTAAATTGCGTAAATTTGTAACTTCAGGCAGATTCGTGTAACTACACGATTACATACCCGTCATAGATGCTGTTCGCCCATAAACATCATGCAAATTCCACAAAATTCGTCCAGCTTGGTAGTCTTCGAAACATTGCTGGAAAACTTTAAAAATCACTTCCCGCGTGCCACTTCGATTTACTTTAGTCATTTTTATACCTTTCTGCGTAGTTTCGTCTTAATGTATTACAGTTTAATCCAAACAATGAAAATACAAAAGGAAAACTGTTCCACAACTGAAACTCGATGACAGCTGATGTACATAAGTTTGGTGTTGCCAGACACATGAATAATGTTAGTTCCTCAAACATTCATGTCACGACTTTATAAACAAACTGTACGCAGACGGTTGTAACACAAAATCACACCAATTTTATTTCACAACATCCACTATGAACGAATTTAAGAATAATTAAAATAAGACGCCAACAGCACTCGATGAAATCCCGTCAAAAACTCCAACGTACGTTTTTAAATTCTCCAAATATGCTCGCATATGCTTAATACATAAGATCAGCAAATGTTTCTATACACACATCAACTGTACTTGCGTAAACTGAAACATATAGATCATCTACATCATACTACGAAAAATGCGAGTAACGAAATTTATTTGAGTGTAACGTTTCGTTACTCGGTACTAGATGGCGTACCCGTTACTCAGTACCGAATACATACGGTTTGCTACAGCTCTACTAGAGTATTTTTAATTAAGGCTGCTTAGCCTGAGGAACATTTTTTAGTATAAAAAATTTACAAATAAATGAAATTTTTGTTTATTATTGTATTGCCAATACTTCAAAGTATTACACGACAAATTAAGGTTGTCACACATTCGATTGCATCAACTCTACAAATTAGTCGGCTAACACTGTCAAAAGACATTGTTTTAATGTAATCAAAAATGTTGTCATAAAGTAATATTGTTTTGAAGTAAACAACGTTATCTACAAGTGTAGACAAAAAGAACTCACAAACATAACTCATTCCATTCGTTCACGATAATTATCTGTGATTCCGAACGATGAAATAGAGTAGTCACTGGCGAAATTTCGTTTAAAATTCGTTCGTTGCCGAAATTTCCTTTCGGAGAAAGAGAGTAGAGCTCGTGGTCTGTTTCACAGTCGATAAGAAAAACATAAGTAGTTACTTAACGAATAAACTACTTAGAGGTTAAATTATTCGTGCAGACTGAGCAGATAAAGTTGTGAGTAACCCTGCTGAGGGATTGTGAATAGTAATTTTCTTGTTTACTACTAGGTACCCTTAGCACGCACCAATACAAATTCAACTATTCAAATTCGATATTGGTTAGTGCTAAGGGTACTGTTATGTTCGAAGTTACTTACTTAGAACTTTACCTAGCAATTGTGAAAAGGCCCTAACATTTTTTAAGCAGAATCCACTTGAAATCATTCGCATTTCATTTTCAATATAATTTTGTGTGCATACTAGGCATTAACTGTCCTGGTGGTAACGTAACCTACGTCGTACTATAACAGGTCGGACACCTGTCCGAAACTTTGAGATGGAAAAGGTTATAATTTAAAAGTTATAAAATTTCTAATTTTATTTTTTTTTAAGCATGCAACTGCTGGATGTTTAAATCTAAAGAAAATATAACTAGAAAAAAATCGAAGGGACTCGAACCAGCACCCTTCTGCTGCCTGGTCCGTGTGTATTTTTTCTAGTTATATTTTCTTAAACATCACATGCTTAAAATATTATAATTATAATTGCTATTTCTTCTTTCAAATGTTTAATACTTGTAAAGGTATTCATTTGACATTGTGGGTTACCTACAATGAGAAGAGTTGGCGCTGCTTCTTGCAACTTAAGAAAGGCTAGAAAAACGCGGCCATCACGGTCGCGGTAGCATAATGGTCAGTGCATTCGTTCGGATAGCGAAGGGTGCGGGTTCGAGTCCCGTCTGATGCCTGGTCCGCGTGTATTTTTTCTAGTTACATTTTCTTAAACATCGAACAGTTACATGCTTAAAAAAATATAATTATAATTGCTATTTCTTCTTTCAAATGTTTAATACTTGTAAAGGTATTCATTTGACATTGTGGGTTACCTATAATGTGAAGAGATGGCGCTGCCTTGCAGCTTAAGAAAGGCTAGAAAGACACGGCCATCAGGTCCGCGGTAGCAGTGCATTCGTTCGGATAGCGAAGGGTGCGGGTTCGAGTCCCGTCTGATGCCTGGTCCGCGTGGATTTTTTTCTAGTTATATTTTCTTCAGGTTACAAGATTTGTTTAACATAGCAAGTTATTCTTTCCAGATTCTTCTAGCTATCGGTGGATGGGCCTTCGGCTCAACCCCCTTCAAGGAGCTGACCTCCAACGTGTTCCGCATGAACCAGTTCGTTTACGAGGCGATCGAGTTCCTCAGGGACTATCAGTTCAACGGTCTCGACGTCGACTGGGAATACCCGAGGTAAGGGCTGATCCGCTACATTTTGTACTAAGGGAATACGCCTTATTAATGCGAGGAATATAACAGAATAATTTTCAAATGTAAATTTCGATAATAAAATGGCGATATCTTAATGCAATTTACTTGTAGACAGTTATGGATCTAAAGTTTATTTAGAAATCTCGAGGAGCTCGATGGCGTGAGTGGTTAGCGCGTTCGGCTGAGATCGTTGAAGTTAAGCAACTTTCGCAGTGATCGGTCATTGGATGGGTGACCAAAAATCTTCTAACTCGAGTTCCTCCGTGCTTCGGAAAGCACGTTAAACCGTTGGTCCCGGCTGCACCTGCAGTCGTTAGCACTCGCCTATTCGCACTGGGCCCGCGTGGTGGGTCATGGCCCAATCTCCCTATTCTATCTGACGACGTCGGTGGCCGAGTGATTTGTACGCCGGGTTTCATGGTGTCGCCGACTTGAGAGGTCCTGGGTTCGAATTCCGGTGGGGACAGATGTTTGTGTGATGAATACGAGCATTTGTGCTCCAGTCATGGATGTTTAATATGTGTTTCTATATAAATATACTTATATATGTACTGTGTATGTATTCTATCCGTTACCCTAGCATCCCATAACACAAGCCTTACAGTGCTTACTTTGGGCTAGGCTAATTGGTGTGAGTGTTGGAAATATTTATTTATATTTATTGCACGCCTCACTTCGACGGGAGCGCTTTACTCTCAATAGGCCGCTATGTGACGATTTTACAATATGAAATCGCTCTTATCTCCCAAATTAGACACTAAATCAATAAAAAGGGGTATTTTGAAAACTAGACATATTAAATTATAAAGTCAACGTATTTTTTCATTTATTTTTTTAGTAGCGTGTAGGTAAAATTGGCCTGGATTGAGCTTCTGGGGTTAATATAAATTAAAGTTACGGCCGTTTATCTGTCTGTCTATCAAGACTCTTTATTTGGTAATGCGCTGAATTGTCGAGTTGAAATTTAAACCAAACTCAGGTTTACGGTCTTTTTAAGCTGTGAAAAAATCAAACTTTTAATTAAACTCAAAAACAGATACGGCCGTTTATGTGGTATACCTACAGATTTGTACGGATCTTGCACGATTTGTACGGTTTTTAAAATAAGAGATCTACCGCTTTGGTAGGAAATTAAATTTAAATCTTCTATTTTCAGAGGAGCTGACGACCGCGCAGCCTTCGTGTCTTTACTCAAAGAACTGCGACTTGCCTTCGAAGGTGAAGCCAAAACTTCTGGACAGCCCAGACTACTGCTCACAGCTGCTGTACCCGCATCATTTGAAGCCATCGCCGCTGGATATGACGTTCCAGAAATCTCGAAATATTTGGTAAAGAATAACTTTAATTATGCCAAACAAAACTATTGCAATGATAACAAAAAGCATTATAAAGCAAGCAGTTTAATACTTAAAATTCAAATATGATTATCTAAATCTCATCTCTCTTCTTGCGCGTTTGCAAATGTTGTGTGACTACCCAAATCTCCCATGTTTATATTTGAAACCTATGCAAACACCCTTGCAACTTTATATTGATAGTTTTGCTAAATAGATTCAAACGTATGTTACAGGACTTTATAAACGTTATGACTTACGATTTCCACGGCCAATGGGAGAGACAAGTTGGACACAACAGCCCTCTGTTCCCTCTTGAGAGCGCAACCAGTTACCAGAAGAAACTCACGGTGGTAAGTAATTTGTTTTTTAGCTGTCAATTCAGTTCACTTCCAATAATGAATACTGGCAGGGGTTTTTACTATTTTTATAAAAAAACTATTCATAATTTTACTAAAAACCCACGAAAAAGAAAGGGATTGGCGGAGACTAAAATGAAGTCACACGCAAGTAAACTTCCGGTTAAAGTGACATTACATTGTATCATTTGACGTTTTAATAACAGTCGTGTGACGTCACACACTAGTAAGACGCCATATTGTCCAGAGAAACGTTTTCGCGGCAACTTGAAAATGGAGTTTTTAATTTGGTTATTTTTACTGAAATACACAATAGAATGATGAATATCTATATAATATCTAACGGCCGCACTCACGGGAATTCAATAAACTATTAAATTTCACTAAAGTTGATGCTAATATGCGAGGAAAGTGACATTCTTTGCGATATTATTAGAATGAGACAAAACGCAACTTAAAATTTATTTAATGTTTTAATAGTTTATGAAGGATAAATACATATTGAAGTTTTGTATGATTTGTAAGATTAGATGAAATGTCCATTTATTTATAGTGACAACAACATTTTTACAGGACTATTCGGCTCGTGAGTGGGTGCGCCAGGGTGCTCCTAAGGAAAAACTGATGATTGGTATGCCGACCTACGGTAGATCATTCACTCTTATCAACGACACTCAATTCGATATTGGAGCCCCTGCTTCTGGCGGCGGTAAGTGTTTTCGTAGAGAAAATAGATTTTAGATTCTTAACAGTTCTTGTCATTGTACCTACATGAATTATAAAATGAAGAATAGTTAAACTTGTTGTAGGTAGTAATACTAAAAACTTTAAACAACATTCTAAAATTTGAAAATTGGTTTTAAGTTATTTGACAATAAAAAAAATATAACTAGAAAAAATTCCACACGGACCAGGCAGCAGACGGGACTTGAACCCGCACCCTTGGCAATCCGGGCGAATGCACTGACCAATTATGCTACCGCGGCCCCCACGGACGCATCGCTGCAAGGCAGCGCCCGGATTGCGAAGGGTGCGGGTTCCAGTCCCGTCTGCTGCCTGGTCCGCGTGGAATTTTTTCTAGTTATATTTTCTTTAGATTTAAACATCAAGCAGTTACATGCTTTAAAATAATAAAAATTATAATAAAAAAAATATTCAGCAATATAATAACTTGAAAAGGTGAAAACTCAATTCACATAGACGTATAAGTTTTTATTTTTAAATTAATATCGTTAGATTAATCTAGAAAGAACGAACATTAATTTTCTTCGGTTTTTCAATCTTTAGGTCAAGCAGGCCGTTACACGAACGAAGCTGGCTTCATGTCATACTACGAAATTTGTGAATTCCTGCGGGAAGATAACACGACTCTGGTATGGGACAACGAACAGATGGTGCCTTTCGCGTACAGAGAAGATCAATGGGTCGGCTTTGATGACGAGAGATCACTAAAGACTAAGGTTGGTGCAAGCTTTACTTAACAATCAATGAGATTATAGATAAAATACTAGAGGAGCTCGATGGCGCGAGTGGTAAGTGCATTCGGCAGCGATCGTTGAAGTTAAGCAACTTTCGCAGTGCTCGGTCATTGGATGGGTGACCAAAAATCTTCTATCTTGCGTTCCTCCGTGCTTCGGATGGCACGTTAAGCCGTTAGTCCCGGCTGCATCTGCAGTCATTAGCACCCGCCAATCCGCACTGGGCCCGCGTGGTGGGTCAAGGCCCAATCTCCCTATTCTGTCTGACGACATCGGTGGCCGAGTGGTTTATACGCTAGGTTTCATGGTGTCGCCAACATGAGAGGCCCCGGGTTCGAATCCCGGTGGGGGCAGATGATTGTGTGATGAATACGAGCATTTGTGCTCCAGTCATGGATGTTTAATATGTGTTCCTATATAAATATACTTATTTATGAACTGTATATGTATTCTATCTGTTACCCTAGTATCCCATAACACAAGCCTTACAGTGCTTACTTTGGGGCTAGGCTAACTGGTGTTAGTGTTGGAAATATTTATTTATTTATCCATAATGAAGGCCTGTGCCCCAGCAGTGGGGACATTAATAGACTGATGATATCGATGGTGATAGATAAAATACATCACATTCTCTATGTTAAAAGTATGGCAAACTAGCATATGGCTCGTCTGATGGTAAGCGGCCACCATAGCCTATAGGCGCTTGTGACACCATAAATATTACTCGTACTGTTACCTAGCCTGTTCCAATCCCCTACCCCGTTGATTATAAAAATTGGTCTGCTGTATTGTAAATCTTATTTAACAATCATTTGGCTGGTGAAGCTGTTGTTTAAGGTTTTTTTTTATTAAAATTGAACATCAAATGACAAGTTAACAAACATCCATCTCATTTTGTTTCAGATGGCTTGGTTAAAGGAAGAAGGTTTTGGTGGTATAATGGTTTGGTCTATCGACATGGACGATTTCCGCGGATCATGTGGTACCGGAAAGTATCCACTAATTACGGCAATGAAGCAAGAACTGTCCAGCTACAAAGTCAAGCTCGAATACGACGGTCCTTATGAGTCATCTCACCCGAACAGCGGACAGTACACTACAAAAGATCGTAAGTACAATCAATAAACAAATTAAAACAAATATCATATCCTTAGTGAACACATTAAAGCATTTCAATTTATTGGGTATAAAAATTAATTATTAAATTTCATTCGCAGCTAACGAGGTTACCTGTGAAGAAGAAGATGGCCACATTTCCTACCACAAAGACAAAGCCGACTGCACCATGTACTATATGTGCGAAGGCGAAAGGAAACATCACATGCCATGCCCTCAGAACCTCGTCTTTAATCCCAACGAAAACGTTTGCGATTGGCCAGAAAATGTAGAAGGCTGCCAACACCACACTCAAGCGCCTGCGGCTAAACGATAGACTTAAATATTGATTATTAACAAATAGGAATCAGTAATTATCTATCCATGTTTACTCTACTTTCGTAAATTAAAGAACAAAATAATTTTATTTCTACTGAAATTTAATTAGAATTATGTCAAGAAACAGATTATGCTCATAATTAAAAATGGTATACATTTAAAAACATGAGCGTTCAGACTATCGTTTATATCTAGATGACATGTTAATTTGTAACACGTGTGCGTGTGTGGATATTGCTTTTTGATTGTTGGCGCATTAAATTAATATTTAATCATCAAATTGTTGGAGATATCGAAATATTGGTAAGTGTCTAACTCTGGAACACCAATATTTGAAGAAAAGATATTTAGAAAGAAACCTCTTGAACTGGACACGTTTATTTATTGGCTTCGGTTTGTCTCGGTTTACGGACGGGGTTCGTGTGATATAAATGTAAATTTACTTAAACTTACTACACAGTAGATATATATTATATTATCTATTGTTAAATTATATTTTAGTGAATTATAATTATGTCTCCTAAAGTTACACAATATATTTTGGAAAATGATACCTGTAAAGATGGTTACGTCGAATTAAATTATATTTTATAAAAATATTAACAAAACCAAGAATGTGTTCAAATTGTTTCCTTATTATACTAAACCAAACTTGTAAATTGGTTTGTAAACATCATCAAAATAATGCTTTATAGGTTTTAAATCTTCACGCGTGGTATTGTGTATCCTTAGGACTATTTTTAGGTTTAGTGTTTCATAGTTCTTAAGTAGTACTGTAAAGCTTTTTTTTATTTTAATACTCAAAAATAAACTAAAACACAGCCTTTTACACTGCCACAGTGACAAAAATAATAATGTGACATTACATTGTAATTGATTTATTTTAAGTTTGTAAATATTGTATTTAGATACAAAAGATGTAAGAGTATTATTAAATATTTTTCTAAAGATTATTTTTTCTTTTATATTTCCATTCAATTTTAAATATGAAACATTAACTTCGATTGAATGTGAGTAAACATTACTGCATTTTAAAATGCCTAAGGTAAGAACAGATATTAGAATCATATTTGTTTAAAATAAAAATATTTTGTTATATGCCTCTTTGCCACATCACAGACGTGATAACCTTCTCTCTAAGCTAGACCGTTTGTTCAACAGCGGTATTCGCTTCATCTTCGACTTACGTAACTACACCCATAACCTCCCACTATATAAATTAACTCAATTGGCTATCCATATGTGACCGTATAAATCTCATAATTTTATACATGATTTCAGTCTTCTGTACAATCCACGTACCCCAGATACTTGAAATCTAAGTTTGAGTTTGAGAAGAACCCAGTAGTTCTTCCAGACCGCGTGATTTTCGGTCTTGAATGCACCTTACCCTTAAAACCATTCTGTTTTCGTTTCCAAATTTTTCACCATTACAGCTATACGTCTTTGCAATGCTTTGCCCCAGAATATTCGTAGTGCACCTAGTAAGTTACAATTCAAAAAAACTGGTGCGTGCGCACTATTTACTATGTTTGTACGCCAGGTTTTTAGGTGTCGCCTACTTGAAAGGTCTCAGGTTCGAATCTCGATGGGGGATGTTTGTCTAATGAATACGAGCATTTTTACTCCAGTAATGGATGTTTAATATATATATACCTTCATCTTTATAAATATACTTATATTTGTATTAGTATATGTATTCTATCCGTTACCCTAGTATCCCATAACACAAGCCTTACTTTCGGGCTAGATTAATTTGGTGTGAGTGTGTGAAATACTTATATACTATCTGACAACCTAATTTTTCTCTTTATATGTAGTTTTGACACATAGATTCATCATATTTATTTTGTCTTAACTAATTTAGTGTAGGTATGTATGTTTATTTATTTACTAGCGGCCAGCCGCGACAATGTCCGGTGTTTTAAGTTTTTATGAGAATACCAACAAAAACCGAACATTTTCCGGGATAACAAGTATTCTATGTCAATCCAGCCCTTCTAGCATGACCACCGAAACGGCATATGATAAAGCGATATATCGGCATTAACTGTAAAACTACAGTGGTGTTTGACAGTTAATCCCGATAATATCGCTTTATCATATCCTGTTTCGGTGGTCATGCTAGAGGGGCTGGTGCTAAAAGTATAGGCGTAATAAATGTCATTCAAACCCGTGTAGTAGTAGTTTTTGCGAGGTTAAGTAACAAACAAACAAACTGACTTGCGCATTTATAATATTAGTTAAGATGTTTTGTCGAACAGTAGAATATTTTGTCAAACGTACTCTACGTACAAAATATGTGTAAATAAATAAAATTTTCAATTTATCTAATTCAATCTCTTTGGTCGACTTTGAAAAGGCAAATACTTACTCACCTATTCAAAATATGTTTCACTTAAAAAATTAAGGTATACCTACGTATACTGCAAAATATTAAATTATATTATATCAATCAAAAATGCAATTCAAATCAATATCAAAAGCTTATTGAGCCTTTTTCTTTTCTATTCACTCATTTGTCCAGTCAATTGTATTTTATGAATGTTAAGTTATTTTGCAATTTTTATGAACATAATGAATGTTTCGTATGATTTCATACCGTCTCAATTTAAGTATGTTACCTTTGATCCTGCGCACATTACACCGAGTGCAGAAGGCCATCGACTTCTACTTATGTTGGCCTCAAAAGTTAAATAATGTAATTACTTACTAAATTGGTCTAAACTTAAATTAAACTTTGAATCAATCTCGCCGCAGATTCTCCGCTTACAATAATTTCGAGGAAATAAAAGCTAGCATTCCGACAGAAACACAGCTTTTATAATTGTTAACAATTTTTTGGAGAAATCTTCTATAGATTGATCGTTCACAAATCATATTTACTATTTGTATCATATTTACTGTCAGCTGAAAATTCGTTACTTACTATTACAACTTTAAAATAAAGCCCTTATTTCATTGGCAGTAGTCAATTTTGGAATAATACTGTTTGACTGAAATCTTTAGACAGTAAAATCATTCCGCCTCCCAAACACCTTTATCTATCTATCTACATTATTTTAGAATATGGCCGTTACTCCAGAAAATCAAACTGCTACACCAATATCAGATTTCAAATTATCACTGGCCAAATTCAATTATAATTACATTTTAAGAATTTTATCACAGTTCTACCGATCGCAGCTTAGAATAATAAGCCGCGAAGCAATAGATAGATCTGGTCCACCTTAACGACGAATATTTAACGTTGTATCATGCTCATGTTCATAATGACGCAGACCACTATTGTGCATGCCTCGATAGGGGAATGGTCAATCGACCACTTGGTTCAACCGAATGAAAGAGGCGTTCCGATCCGATTTGACGCATGCGATGAAATCAATGAGGTAGATAGTTTTTGGCGTTTTGACAAACTGTCAAGAAAATATTTATGCATGATAATCGAGAATAATAGTTAATAGTAATAATAATTTTAATAATAAAGTTAATAGTTTTCACACCCTAAATAAAGACAGTTAAAATTTGTGAATACTAAGTCGCCGAAAGTTACTTTAGCATATTTTAAAAGAGATCTGCTCTCATCTTTGGGCGGGGGCACCCCAGTACCAGCTTCCATCCCTTTGGATCGCATCCAGCGCCGAGCGGCCCGAATAGTCGACGACCAGGACCTTTCCGATCAGCTTGATCCTTTGGCTTTGCGTAGGGTATATATAGCTTCGCTCTGCATCTTCTATCACATTTATCACGGGGAGTGTTCTGAGGAATTGTTCGGATTAATTCCAGCTGTTGCATTTCACCATCGTACATCACGACAAAAATTTCATCCCCATCATCTTGATGCGTGGCTATCCACAACCGTGCGTTTTTGTCGAAATTTTTTACCACGTACAACAAAACTGTGTGAATATGTTGTCGCCAGCAGTGTTTCCGGACCGATACGACCCAAAAACCTTCAAAAAAAGAGCGTACTCCTTCCTTAAAGGCCGGCATCGCATTTGTGATACTCCTGGTGTTGCAAGTGTCCATGGGCGACGGTGATCACTTACCATCAGGTGAGCCGTCTGCTCGTATGCCCCCTATGACATAAAAAAAAAGGTTAAGACTGATTTTAAGGTCTTTGCCCAATATTCTCCAAACACTGTCAATCCATTAGTCGACCTTTACGACTTCCTGAGAAAATAAAGTTGTTTTATTTTACGGAAACCAAAACCAAATTCAGTAATTAAGATTTATGCCATGTTGTAATAAAAACTATTAATTGCCTGTACCCCAACAGTGGGGATTCGATTTAGTTGTAAGCGATCTATTATGGAGGGCAAAAAAGTCCCTCGTCTGCGCAGGCCATGATGGTGACATAATTTTCATCAACAAGGTATAATGAAACCTGTCAATAATGACTCATCGGTGCACCACAACGATCAATTTATAACGCCCAGATAATGGACGGATGCATCCTTTATCCAGAATTTCCATTCATATTGCAGCAAGCGAATTTCGACTTTCCAACTAGCTTTCCGAAATCCCAAATTTTGTGTAACGGCTGCATCAATATGCCTTAAATGGGATGAGCCAGCGATTCGGTGAATACCCCTATTATGGTTTGAATTATAGATGGTTTACTAATACGGCGTAAATGCTAAACATGATCTAAACGGTATCTGGTCCAACCAATGTTGTGCCGTTTGCACTGCTTTGCAAACTGTTTAGTAAATCCAGATTTGGTAAATGGAATTTTACATATTAACAACGTGAAGTTCTCGTGTGAACATACACTTTCCATTCGGGCCGTTGCATAGGTAATGTTTGAACTTATTCTGTTAAATACTGGGTCTTGTACTTTTTAACTGGAAACAAAGTTTATCTTATATTTAAAATTCTCGTGTCACAATGTTAGTTACCATACTCCTCCAAAACGGCCTGACCGATTTTTATGAAATTTTATATGCATAATTGTCTGAGCACATTTGCATGTAGTGAAAATGATAATATAGTTGTGGATATTAATATCAGAGTGTAATAAAAAAGATTGTTTTATTTTATCGATCTTTACAAAATAGATTTGTCTTTTTTTATTGATGAATAATTGCCATCGCTTAAGATAACTAATCAATCATTTTAAGAATTTAAGAATTACAACGCTTGCTTAACTTTTTCTTTTTTGGAATAGAATAGCGTATAGTACCCCTAGTAGAAACCAATTTTGAATTCGTATAGTTTGCGACTCCGAAATGTTATTGTCAAATTTTGTATTGAACAGGTAACAAACTTGAACAGCAGCGCCACAAAGGACGTAACGAGAAATAAAAATTAGTACACATTTGACAATGACATTACGGACTCGCAAACTATTCGAATTCGATATTGGTTCGTGCTGAGGGGAACAGTTTTCATTATTATAGTCCATTTTTTATCAGTTTTATGAATTTTGAAATATAGGCTCGTATTACAGAATGGCAACTAAGTTTTGATCTTTACTTGAGTACAGTTAGAAAGGGATGTCGCTATATATAGCACATAGCGACATCCCTTTCTAACTATGCTCAAGACTAGATTAATTACTGAGAATCTATTTAAATAAAACTCAAAGGTGACTGACTGACATAGTGATCTATCAACGCACAGCCCAAACCACTGGACGGATCGGGCTGAAATTTGACATGCAGGTAGATGTTATGACGTAGGCATCCGCTAAGAAAGGATTTTGATCAATTCTACCCCCAAGGGGATAAAATAGGGAATGAAAGTTTGTATGAAACTTTGTCAATTTTAAACCGATCGATCTGAGACTTTGCATGCAGGTATAAGAAGAATCATAGATGAATGTCATTGTGTATAATACAAGTCTGAGAACAAAAACTGTAGTATACACTTCAGCTCTATACCGAAGCGAAGCGAGGGCGGGCCGCTAGTCTTTCTATAATACGGGCTATAGACTACTGCAGCTGTAACTTGTATGTAAGGACGTGGAGTGATACTAAAAATTTTTTTTTTT